TTATTGTCTGAACAATTCTCCTTGTCCTCTGAGATTTCCTCACAGTCCTCTGAATCTTTTGCAGAACTGCTTTTACTTCCCTTTAGCAGCCTGAGAACGAGAGATGGACGGTCAATAACCACGAATGCTTGTAACTGAGTCAACCTCAGGTGGATTTCCAACCCTGAACGCATCACACACCATCATCAGGTCCACATTTCTACAAGCATGAGATACATTTTGTCCCAACCAGATCCATTAAAAGACATTTTTTGCCCAGTGTTAAGTGACATTAGAGAGCTTAGAAAGCACTAACAGTAATACCTATAAGCCTAATCCTGAAACCATACACAGTGGAAAAAGCAATAGTGTTGAGATCTTTTTGGCGTCTTGGCAGAAATCTTCCAACCCACGCACTTTTTGCCAACTGTTAACCATCTCGGTGGGCTTGTAGTGGTGGGAATTATTGAGTGACTCGGCCACAAGGGCTGAATAACAACTTAACTATGTAAAGCCTTTTTATGACACCAGTTTTTGCAGAGTGTTCAGAATTCTTAAAATCAAAATACCTGTGCTTACAACAGACAAATTAAGGGTGATTTTAGAAAAGGTACACACTAATACGCAATTAGAGTGAAGGTACGAGTACGCACTCACATACAACACATTCACTTTTTACATGAGAAAAAAAAAATCAAGATCGGAAGGAGACACATGCTAGAGTAGTCTTAGTGTTGGCCGTGAGGTCGGATAATTGGTTTTGTCAGAAAGGGCATCCAGCATAAAATCTTTGCTAAATTAAACAAGCAGATTCATCCGCTGTTGTAACCTTTCTGGAAATATGTAATAATTATAATTAGCCTGAACATTTTATACTGCTTACAAATAGCTTTCATTTAAGTCTACAGCATTACTGCTCAAACTTTTTCAGCTCCCCTCGGTTAAATGTAACCAGAGATGGGCAGTAATGTGCTATGCAATTCCTTTTTTCAAGTAAAGATTAAAGTAAGGGATTGTTATTACAAAAAAGTCATTAGATTACTGTTACTTTCCCATAAGCACGCTGTGTTACTGCGTTACTAAACCGTGATTTTGTTTGTGTGAGTGTCTCATGACGTATGAACGTGCGACGTCTGTGGTAGCAACAGACGTGTGTAGATAAACAATGGATAATATGGAGTGCGGGAGAGAGTACGAAAGCTTGGAAGTACTGACATTACTTTGAGTTTTAATCTGTAAGAAGTGACAAAAACATTAGAGTACGCTGTACACTCTGCGTGGGAAGAAAACTTTTTTCTACAGAGAAAAATTAAACTTTAAATCTGAGCAAGCACCTAGCAAGCCGCCACGGGAATGTGAAATTCACAGGGAAAACCCCCGGATCCCCCCACTGACATGACCGCTGCGACACCGGGCAAACCTCCCACCGGCCCCACTCCTGCTAAACAGGTGACAATACATTGAATCTTTGACTTTATTTGTTTTTTGCCGTGTTTTACTATTTGAAAGAGCGAGTGTAAACACATATGCAGGAATATGTAGAAAATAGGTTTAAATGTTCAACAAATTTCTTCAGATTTAATTTTTGCTTGATGCAATGTGCATAAAGTTAAAAGATTAAAACTAATAAAACTGTTTTTAATAAGAGACTTTTTCATTTGATTCAATTTATATGATGGATTATGCAGAAAAAATAAAATTGGGCTGAAAGGTCTACTGCTTTATAATGTTTTCAGGTTGTGTATCATGCTTTGTTAAAGTAACTAAGTAATAAAGTAACTAATTACTTTTAAAAAACACGTAATCAGTAAAGTAATAGGATTACTTTCTTGGAAAAGTAATCAGTAATTAGTAACTACTATTTTCAAGTAACTTGACCAACACTGATTGTAACACTTGAGCCATTTACTTGAGCTGTTTCACTGCAGAAGCAGCTCCTGTGGTATTTGGGAATAGCTGCACTGTTGTGTAGCCAGATGGAAGCGACGTTGGTCTGGAAAATGACTGGTGATAAGGGGCACCGGCTGGTTAACCACAGAACAAATTTCAAGGCTCAGTCTCCCACGCACATGACTGGCTCAGCTGTTGTTAACGCTACGAAAAATGATCACTAATGATGTTGCAAAGAGAGAGAATGATATCTTATTCTGGTGGAGAACGCGTTCAGCATACCTGCTGTCTGTGTTTATTTTGAAAATGTGCATGTGAGCATAGATGACTCATGTACAGAAGACCAAATGTACCTACGGGTACAAAAAAGGTAACCTGAAGCTCATCTAACTGACTAGGTCCAGAAGCGTGGCTTGACTTTGTGTGGAACGGGAGGCAGATCTTTAAAGGGTATAAATTAATCTATTGAAATGGATTGTGAGCACAGCGTTTCATGTATGACGATTAGAAAACTGTGTGCGTTTTTGATCTTCACAACCAACTTGCCTTAGCCATTTATAAAGTGAATTTTATCCAGATAATATGTCTTGAACAATAAACGCTGCCATTTTTAACACAATAGCTTCATTTGGGTGATTGCTGCCTTAATGGCGGTTGAACCTGCAAGTGTTGTTTCATTCTATTTTTTGCTGAACAAAAGCAGGGTTTACAAAGCAGGATTCATCACAGGCGACAAGGGCAGTTAAAGAGGCTGTCAGAACAAGGCAGCAGTGTGGAGTTTTAACAGGCCTGCAGTGTCTTACTGGTGAGGCATGGGCGTGAAGCTGTCTTTTTCTCTCATATTTTAAGCACAGTGTTGTTCTAAAAGCCCGTTTCCTCAGTGTAATTTAGTGTTGCAAAATATCTACACACGCTGAGCTTTGTAGCACATAAATCTCAATTTATAAAAAAGAAAAGAAAGGAAAACTAAAAGGAACGCAAACATGAACATATCAAATACTTAAGAACAAAAGCAGAGTTAAAGTAAAATAAAAATATGAGATTCAAACACTTACTGATCCTCCTTGAAGTAGGTGAAACCGATAAATGGTAGCTGGTTGCCAACAAAGGCTTTGGGTGGAGGAAAGGTCTCAACATCTCCTTTCTCAACCTCTATGTCATCGAAGTTACTGGTGTCTATGTCACCTTTCAGCTCTGGCACAACTGGGGCCACAGCTGGAAGACAGGAAGAGAGGGATAGAGTCATGAAGCGAAAAAGGGGAACGAAGGAGGTGCAAACCAGGAGGGTTAAAGCAAAGAGAAAACTGCTGTTTTACATAAAATCAGACTGAAAACAATCCTGTGCTTGGGGATTTAAAATTAAAATAAATCAAAGACATTTGAGTGCTATTTTTTTTTTTCCACCAATTTGAATAAATGCATGTCCATTTTGGCTTTGGTTACTTCAGGAGTCTGCAGGTTGGCTTGAGCCTGACACCACTCCTTTTCCCGTACAGTGCTTGCTTTGTGCCCCATACACAGCGCCTTTCACAAGCCATGCCAAGAGAGAAGGTTCCTTCTGCGCTCTCTTTTCACAAGACTGACTCTAAAAGTCTGCAGACAAAAATGTGTTAAAGGGCCAATCAGATAAAACTAAGCAAGCCCTCGAGCCTATAAATAGATCCTAATTAGGAAAAAAAAGCAGCGATTTTGGATGAAGTTGTTCAGACCAGCGCAGTTCTGGCTCTGAGTAAAAAGCTTATTACTGCAGGTCAAGACAACCCCCAGTGTGACAAATGTGACTCAAAGATGGTGCACAGAGAGAAATCAAGCGCAGGGATGAAACAAATGAGGGGGAAATAAAAAGAAGAGATATAAAAAAAAAAAAGCCAAAATGTGGTGAGACAGAAAGAGACTCAGGGCGCTCCATGGAGGCCCTTGTGGCATGACTTCCCAGAATGCTCTCTGATAGCGGGTGACTAATGACAGGCAGCCACGGCCACAGAGAGAGTGAGAGAGCGGGAGCAACCCTCCAAACTGGGACGCCCCTCTCATTAGACCGGTCCACACAGGCCGCACAGCCTGCCCCACCCGCCGCTAAGGGGGGTGCTGCCTCCAGTCGCATCCATCCATTCATTCATTCATTCATTTATCCTGCCAAGCATCCATCCAACGACCCGTGGTGCTGGTTTCGTTGCCTTCAACCATCCCTGTGCTTAATAAACATGAAGACAACTCAAATGATAAAGCGCTGAAATCAGGGCCCAGACGCTGCGGGAAGTAATATCACCCTTAGACACAGAGGGCCGAGAGGGACGTGCAGCTCAGCGGGACTTCACAATGGAAGGAAGGTCATGTTTGGAGTGGTTGCATGAGCGTGCACATGCAAACATGAAGAGAGCAGAGCAATGGTTTCGTGTTCCAGATCGCCAGGCTGTGATCAGAAGTTCTGCCTTAATCGGAGCCAGGTGAGGCAGAGACAGGGCGAGGCAACGAAAAAGAGTCTGAATGTACTTATATACAGACACATATATCCCTTTCTTATTTTTTTTCTCCTTCTTGTTTCTTTTGTCCTTACTGATACAAACAGTCTAAACCTAAATTAAAATAACAGAAAAGAAAAAATATACTAAAGTACAAACATTGGTACTGATTTAACCCATAGTATTAAATAGCTAAGATTTTTTTCTCTTTATTCTGTTCCTAATACACCTGTGAGTAAATAATTCTGTTATATTATCTATCTATCTACCCATCCATCCATCCATCCATCCATCTCCTTAAGCTACAACATAGTGTTCCTCTTATCCAGTCACACATGTGGTGCAGGACTTCAATATGTTCAGTACACTCACCAATTTATGATTTTAGACTGGTACCCATACGTAGCTGATTATTCTGCATAATGTTCTCTCCTGCTCTGCAAAGCACCCTGTCATATACTGTCAGATATGAATGGCGAGCATATGGAGAGCATGTGTACCATACAAGTAGCCTTAATGACTCAGGAGCTGGAAATAAAATTCTAACTCAGACTGAAGCAAAACAGAACTGCAGAGGAATGGGCTGGAGATGATAAGAGAAGCAAAACAATGGGAACGGCAACAAACCGAGAAAAAGAAAAACATTTGCACATTACCAGAAATGGAAATGTATGATGCTCCTGCATTGTGGCATAATATAGAGAGAAGTTTTAAAGACAAGTATATGGATACACTTACTGTCACGGATGTTGTCAAAGGTCCACTGGTTGTTCTTAAAGAAGGGGTGACATTTTATCTCGTCCACTCCGGTGCGGCCCAGACGAACCTTCCTGCACACAGCGACAGGAACAAGCAGTCAGACGGTGAGCGGGTTTGCCTAAGTGTGACACAGTGCAACGCAGTACAGCACACCCCTTTCCTCCTCTCCACCCACCATCACAAACATGTCATCCCAAACACATGGAACTTAGCGGCGTGACCACTCTGCACTGACCACACTGACCAGCATGGAGAGCCACCAGACCGCTGTTGGACAATGGATACGCCTGAAAACCTCTTCAGTCCAAGTTCCAAGCAGTAAAGACAGGAGGACTGGATACCAGGCAGGAACATCAACAATTCTGACTCAAGAACTCATAGATCTTCCCTCCTTCTCTTCTCTCTCTCCCTCTCACTGAGTCTATACACACACTCATTTTCCCTCTTGCCTCATCCCCTCGCCTCCCTCCTCCACCTCTGGGTACAGGGTTGGAGGGGTGGGGCAGTTTGGGCTTGCCACGTGTGGGACATTCCAGATCCAGCCAAGGGGAAGAGAGGGCAGAGGTGGGGAGGAAAAAAAAAGGGAGGAGAGACTTTAAAACCTCTGCGTGAAAAAGTGACATGCAGCCAAATCAGGGTTACAAGCCATGTCTCGATGCCCAGAAAACTGCAAAGGAGAAAGTTACAGACGAAAAGGGAGAACGAAGAAATGGAAAGTGGCACAGAGAAAAGGTGGAGGAAGACATTTACAAATGAAGTGATGAAAAACACATGGTGAGAAAAGAGAGATGAAAAATTCCAAAACGAGCAGGGTGGTTGTGCTTACTCATGTGATTCAGCATAATGAGGAGACAGTGATGGAGCATGTAGGTTAAGTGGTGAATGCAGTCAGTAGTCAGTGTTCAAGATGTGTGTGTGTGTCAGTCGTACACACATGCGAGATTCTGTCTGTGGTGAGAGAGAGCAGTGAGTGAGAAGGTAAATAAACTGAGTGAGGAAAAATGAAAGGCTGCTCTGTACTGAAGCAGAAAGGGCCTGTGTTCGAGCCTGTCGTGGGCGGAGTTACTAATGTAAACAGGAAGTGGTTTCTTCAAGGGGGAGGGGACACTATTTGGAAACATGACCCATATACCCATTCATCCAACTTTTACCTTTACAACTAATTTTCCCAAAAGTATCTTAATCAGTCTTCAAGCAACTTAAAGAAGTCCAGACGCTTTTCTTTCCAAGCTCCTTAGACATGCCTCTCAGTTACTTTGTGAGTCATGGGCAGACATCCCTGTGGTTAATAATATATGTCAGGCAGGAAATCTAAAGTGCAGGATCAATCCAAGGAAACAAAGAACGATACCACGATGATGTGTATTTGCAGGCAAATATACGCCTATGTTTTTTATCACTTAGTGCTTTCCTTTGTCTTCTGCTCACCCCACAGGCAGCCATGGCAAATAGCTGCTTCTCCCTGAACTTGGTTCTGTGAGGATTCTTTCTGACAAATGTGCGTTCTTCCTTCCTACTGTCGTCGAGTGCTTCCTCATAGGGGATCGTCCGATTGTTGGGGTTATTTCTCTAAACACTGTGTGCTAATCAGACTTCTTGGTGGTTGATGCATTACATTCAGAATCGCCTGTGCTTTTGCTAGTGTTGCTGACATATGATTCACCTCATTGCTTAAAGGCTTTTTATTACAGTGTTGTATTTATCTCTAATGTAAATTCATAAACCTTGTTAACAAGGTTATATGTACTATGCACTATTTGATCAGTTCTATGCTTTACTAACATTTCAACCTGCTAATTAATGACAGGATTTTTTTTTAAGGACAGATATCCAAAAAAGCCCCAAATTATCAAGTATTATTTGTATATAAAAGCTTGAAATAGTCCTTAATATAGCATTTTCCTTTTTTTACTACCAAATTCTTGTTACATTACAAAAACAAGGGCTTACAGTATAATCTATGGTTTCATATACAAACCTGTCAGTAAGGAAGGCACAGATGAGATCTTTGGCATTTTGAGACATCTCTACATCATCAGGGAATACGAGCGAGTTCTGGTGGTTCATAATCTTTCCGTACGTTCCGATAAGGGACTCGGCATAGAAAGGAGTTTCACCTAGAAGAAGAATGAGAGGTCAAATTCTCAAAACACAGATCCGAGAGCTTGAGCAAAAACTTACATTTTTATAATTACTAACATAAAGGAAGTTACATAATATCCAAACAGCAAGAAAACATAACGTAATGTTGAGTTGACCTCTCATTATCTGGTTACAGTCAGAACAGCCTGGGCTGAATTATACATGTAATGGGCATTAAATCATGTTTGCTTTCTTAATAAAAGCTTAACTGAATGAACAGTACATAACTTACCAACTAGCAATTCAAAGAGAAATACTCCTACAGACCACCAGTCACACTCCCGGCCATAGTAGTCATCACCACCCTGAGACTGGAGAACCTCGGGGGAGATGTAGTCTGGTGTGCCTACAGCTGTGTCACATTTCACCATACCTGTCTGCAGAAAGATGAATTTACAACATAACACACGGGAAAGCAATAATAAAAGATTGGAAAAGACTTTGGACAGAAAGCAGAAAAAAAAAGTTTTAAAAAAAGCAAAAACAAAATCACAGTGGGGATCAATGAGCTTGTGAAACTAGCTTAAAATTGTTTGCTATATTTTCTTTTAAAATCTTTTGATGTTGGGACAACAACTATGCAAACAATTCTTTAAAAAATCTTTACCATGTGGACCACAAACAAAATGTGTTTTAAGACCATTTCAAGTTTCTTTACCAGACTGAGACTAGGGAAGGAATTGCATGACATGCTCTGTCTACTGGCAGATATTCAGAGAGCTCAAATGAGTGAAATGAGCTATTTTGAAATTGCTGTGGTGAAAACAAAAGGATGAAAAACACTTCCTGTCCCACAGCAGCAGAGGCGGGACTGCCGCCTCACTCGAGACTGGTTGTTTAGCACATAACTTCTGTGGCCTTTCAAAACAACATGATGTAAGAGCTTCACTTCACCATCTGAACACCTGGTGGTGCACTGAAGCTCTGAAAAATCTAAATGTCATTTTCCTCTTCTTTCAACTAACTCAGAAGGTTTGTGACTCAACTATAAACTCGACATACCGAGTCCATCTTCATGCATGTGCCAAAGTCAGCCAGTTTGAGGTGTCCGTGTTGGTCCAGCAGCATGTTGTCGGGCTTAATGTCGCGGTGGATGAAGCCCATCGAGTGGATGGCGTCTAGCCCCAGCACTACTTCTGCTGTGTAGAAGCGAGCCCATTTCTCAGGGATGTCGTAGTTCATGGTGAGTGTGACCAGGTCTCCTCCGGGCATGAATTCCATCACCATATAAAGGTGCCGATCATCTTGGAAAGCACAGCATAGCTACGAAACAGTAACGAGTAATTACAATATCACTGATTACTTTTTTATCTCAAACTTAATGCTGATATAGTGCCAGGTTATTACTGAAGTGTATAAACAGAAGGTACTGTTTTGTGATGTAAACGTAAATATCATCTGTGCTGTCTTAATATATTATTTGATTACTCTATGATGAATGTTTTATCTCCGGGTCTTTAAGGCAGCATTAAATTTTATCTTATTTAACAAGCACGCTGTCTGCTTTTACCTCATCCAATATAACAAGACTCTTACTATATATTGGTTCTATTGGTCTATTCCACACATCATTTGTTTCATTTTCTTATCATAAAAATATTCCTGCATCCCTACCCAACTGTTTTACTGTTCATTTATTTTAATATAATCTCCATATGCCGTCTCTAAACACTCGGACCATCTGATTACACCACTTGTTTTGACAAAGTGCTTGCAATTTGTACCTACTATCAGTACCTAATGCATGCAATAACAATAATTCCAAATAAATTATTAAATGTTTTAGAGTTTGGTGCGTGAATGTTATTATTTGATTACCATCTACAGAAACAACCAGTAACAACCTAGTTTATATTTGACACACAAAAAAATATATATCAATATCAACCTATAACAATGTTCTACAGAAAGTTTCAGCATTATGATTCTATGATGCCAGTTTTAAAATGCATAAATATAGCACGCTGTAAATGTGTGAACTTCCTTTATTGCAGCATCACTGAGTAGAGACACAAAACAGTATGACCGGTTTTCCCACATGCTGCGTAGGGGTGTTACCAGTCAGGCTGTATTGACTACGTCACATGGAGGACATTTATGAATGGCACAGTGAACTGTGTTCACAGTCAGTGATTTCTGAAGGTGTTCCTGTGTCCATGCACTTATTTCCATGACCGAATGAGGCCAGTTTTTAATGCAATGTAGTCCGAGGGCCTGAAGATCACGGCCATCAATTACAGGTTTGCAGCTTTCTCTCTCGTGCACAGAGATTTCTCCAGATACGCTATAAATATAAATCCTGATAACATATTCGAAGTATTCACAATTTTTTTCATTGAGAAACGTTATCCTAAAATTGTTTCACAGTTGGTAGATGGCAGTATGTTTTTGTAGATTGGTGAACTTTTGTCCATCTTTCAGAGAAACTCGGTTCTTTTTATCATGTTATTGAGCCGTTGTTAATTAAACTAATTAGCTGCAAACTGTTTCTTTTCAGCATCACTTAATTTCCCAGCCTTTTGCTGCCCTCTCACAACTTTTTTTGAGATGTGTTACTGCCATTCAAAATGGGCTACTGTTTTTCATGAAACGCTAAAACATTTCAGTTTAAACATTTGGTGTGTTTTCCGTCTTCTACTGTGATCAAAATATATCTATGAAAACCTCTGTGGCTGAAAGGAGTTAAAACGTCTGTTCTATATGTTCTCCAGTGCTACATCTTATGAATATTTGTAGAAAAAAAACAAAACACACCTGGACGACCCAGGGGCTGTTGGAGAAGGCCATGATGTGTCTCTCCTCCCAGAAGAAGGCCGAATCTGACCTTTTGATCATCTCAAACTTGCTGAGCTGCTTCATGGCATAAACCTTCTTAGAGGCCTTGTGACGGACCTGCAGAGGAGGACGTGACAAAAAAGGAGAGATGTGAGAATGTAAATAGTGATAAGTCAACAAGGACAATATGGACAAGATGGTAAGAAGGTCACAGTGACCAAGATAACGTGGGAGATGAAGAGAAACAGACACAGAGATGGGAAGCCATAATTGTAGGACACACCCATAGAAAGACATGTTTACACAAGATTTCAAACACAAACATACCATGTCCCCCATCCACACCCCACACCAGACTTCACATTCATCTCTCACACACTGAGCCTGTCCAGACTTGTTTCCACCCAAGAGACTCAGCAGATACCAGATTCTACCGGCATAAGATGCAGATATATGGGAAACAGAGTTAGGGAGAGTAAGAAATGTACTGATTGGCTTAAACTTGGAGTCAGGCACATTGGCAATTTTAAAAAATCAAAAACAAACAGATTTAAAAAAAATCAAGTTATAAAAATCACACGTTTGGTATTTTTAAAGACTGTTGCTCCCTCTAGTGGTTCACATGTTTCTGGTAGCTGCTGGATTCAGGAACAACTGGAGAAATTCCCCCTTTAAATCACACTGCTTTGCTCTTCCACCGAACACAGTTTAAAATTAAATAGCGCAAGTCAACAGACAACCTCTTATTGATCCCTTGAACTCACCAGCTGCACTTCTCCATAAGCTCCTTTTCCGATCAGCTTGACTCTCTCAAAGTCATCAAGCTTCATCTGAAGTTCTCGCAGCTCACTCACTAAGTCTTTATCTGCAAATGAGACACATACACGAGATCAGACAAAGATAAAGCTGATTTTATCTAACACTTTCCCAGTCTAATGAAATCTACTGCAGTAGTTTTGGAGAAAACATGTTATACATGTTGAACAAATTAACATAAAAGTAGATTTTTAAGAAATGAAATGTCACATTTAGCTATAGTCACCACACCACACCAGGTTTTCTAGGATGAATGTGACTGCATCACCTTAAATAAAAAAAAATATTTTGGGGGGGGGGGGCAAGGCTATGCAACAAGACCACATATCAATTACTAATGTTTTGGCAGGAAAAATCTGTTAATCTCCCCAAAAATGTTAATTTGAATAACAACACCACACCAGGGAAATCTTTCATATAGCTCTCTTTTTACCTTCTTAAAGAAACAGTGCACATGTTATATCCCAAATCTGACGCTGGACAACAGGGAAAGTCTTGCACAATCTAAAAAGTCATGGTTTTCATCACTAAGACACACAAATGCAAAACACACACGAGAACTTACATCTGTTCAGAAAGGACTCTATGTTTTTGTTTTTCCGTAAGGGGGGGTAATTCAAGTCATTGACCAGTGCATTCATGGAATCCTGAAGGACAAGAAAGAGAAGAAGTTTTTATTAGAAAGGAAAATTAACATTTAGAAATAGTGTTTAATTAACAACAACAACAAAAAATCCATGTCAGTGTACAGTGTAAACACCAGTATCATTCAAAAATGGGAATATTCCTTAAGTTCAGCTGAATATTCACAGAAAATTAATGACATTTAAATAATTTCTTTATCATTATATTGTCAAGACAATTCATGAAAGTTGGGAAGCTCCGACATTGTGCTGGCTAATAAAAGCAAACATCTTTAATGAAGTAAAGATGGCGGTAAGAACACTCAAAAATGTAAACAAGTGGGGAAACAAAATCAGACCGCTAAACCAAAACAAACACAAAAGAACAATGGAGGCTGGACAAGGAGACAAAACATGTCATGCAACAACAAATAAAATTAGACGCGTGTTCATGTTTCGGTCGCTTCCATAAACACACAGACCCGCCATCAGGCCCACCGACACCAGCTCCAGTAAAGCACAGTGGAGCTGTGGCACTGTCAGAGTTAAAGCTGGAGCCTCAGCAGTGTCATCAGTGCTTAAATCGGGGGTGTTGTGTTTCAAGTTGAACCAAAATGTGCCTGTGATCCACATGCATGAAGGTGGCAGGGCAGAGCTGGGTGGGGGTAGGGTGTGGGTGTGTGTGGGGCGGTGAGGCGGGGTAGGTCAGAGTGTGCTATGATCTCTGTTCCCTAAAAAACAGGGGTCGTGTTGAGTCATCCAGCATGTCAGCGAGTGTAGGGGCTGTATCTGGTTGTCTGTTTGTTCTAGGACATATGAGTGAGTGGAAAGGGGCATGTGGAACAATTCTGCACCTTTAAATAGCAGCGGCGAGGAGCGATCTCCCCCACCACACATGGGTGGAAATAGACCTAAAGGCTCAGAAGCTATTGTGGGACGAACAGCTTATGGACCTGGATTCAGGCTGAGAGCTCGAGGATAGGTGATCATTTTACAAAAGATCAGCTGGCGTAACGGTCGTCGTTATCGCAGCACTAAGAGAACTTTGTTTTAAAGAGTTTCAGTGATGGTAATATGCAAATCCAGTCTAATGTTAGCAGTTTCAAACAGGGTGCGCCTGTAGTTTGTGTGACTAAAATCATGAAGGACTTGTTCAGGTTTTTGCAGCTTGGTATTCGAGTCCTGTTTTCTAAAATAAATTTAAAGTGAGTCCCTGCATCTTTTGTCACTGCTTTTGTTTCTGATACAAAAGGCATACAATAAAAAGATTCAGGAAGGGATTTATATAGCTGAGATCAGGGTATACAAGTTAAAACAAGATTAAAGTGGGAACCAAGGTCCATCACACCTTGATGCATTAAGCATACAGCTTCAGGTTAAAAAAAAAAAAAAAAAAA